TTAAAAAAAAAAAAAAAAAAAAAACCCTACCTTTAATTATCTTCTAATTGTAAAATTTTTACTTCCTTTAAAAAAAAAAATTCTCAGTGATCCTTATTCTGATTCCTTTTCGTTTTGACAATTAAAACTTATGAAAGCTGGTTGTTTTGTCTCCTATTACTGAAATAATTTAGTTGATTTAACACTACAGATGGTGTTAGGATAATGAATACAGAACATCAATGAGAATCTAAATTATGTCTCTTGAGACCTCCCTCATTCCAAAGGAGATCTCATAAGTATACATGCATACATGTATAACTTATACAAAAAAAAAAAGCCACATAAATCACCATAACATTACAGAAGCAGATTCAAGAGAAAATAGAAAAATGTGTTCACCATTAAACTCAATACTAATTTTTAGAAGTAAAAACCTATAGAATCAATATTAATGAGAGGAAATAATACGCTGCAGTTAAGAACAACAGACTTTGGAGTAAATAAGAAGTAGGTTTCAGTCAGTGACTTTTGCTGCATGGCCTTGGGCAAGCTATTTAATATACCCAGGCTTCAGTCTTCATCAGCAAAATGAGATAGTATTACTATCTCACAGGGTTGTAGCAAGAACAAAAGAAGATAATACATGTAAAACCACAGTGCTCAGCAAACATCATAAAGCTAAATTATCATTAGCCATTGTTACTATGATTATTATTAAATTATCCCAGATACATGTCTGAGCATGATTATATATTTTTCCTATTTACCCAGCTTGACAAAGTGCTTAAAACTTTTCTTTAGCACTAGAAAAAAGTGGGTTTTAACTGGAACTCTTTTCATTTCATCCATTTTATAGACATAAATTATTTACGAAGATAAGTCAACAACTCATACTTTAAGGATTTCTTTATATGCATCACAAAGGTTATCAATGCTTTTAAGAGCATCTGCATAAAGTTTTATTATTTAACCTTTACACACAATACATGTTTTTCAAACTGCAAAGTTGATAACTAATATCATTTTCAAATAGGCATAGTATAACCTTAAATATTACATGATTCAGATTTTTTTTTTTTTTTACAAAGAAATAAACCTGTAAAGGATCACTGCACTATAGTTGTTCATCAATTATCTGCGGCAAAACTGGGATCCTAGTAGATACTTCAGCATATGGATGGTTCCTCTACTGCCTGGGCACCCTCTGTGACAGCTTTGACACATTTGGCCATTGTCTGTGAGGCTCTGCTAATTGAATCTGAAAGATATTAATAAAATGCCATTTCAATAATACAACTTTTTAAAAGGCACATACTAAAACTTTAATGCTGCACATATTCAGGAGGAAAAAAAGATTATAAGGCCCTATGCAAGTATATATAATTATATGTAACCAACAGATTCCAACGATAAACCCCTTACTGGCCAAATGCGTTCAATAACTATCCCTGGAAACAATCAAATAACTATAGAACAGCTAGACAGTGCACCAGTATGCCGCCATTAAAAAATTATTAAAAAGTATTAAAAACATAGGAAGGGCCGGGCATGGTGGCTCAGGCCTGTAATCCCAGCACTTTGGGAGGCCGAGGCGGGCAGATCACGAGGTAAGGAGATCGAGACCATCCTGGCTAATATGGTGAAACCCCATCTCTACTAAAAACAAAAAATTTGCCGGGCATGGTGGCGGGTGCCTATAGTCCCAGCTACTCGGGAGGCTGAGGCATGAGAATGGCGTGAACTCGGGAGGTGGAGCTTGCAGTGAGCCGAGATCGCACCACTGCACTCCAGCCTGGGTGACACAGCAAGATTCCGTCTCAAAAAAATAAAAAATAAATAAATAAAATATAGGAAAAATATGTACAATACTATAATTGAAAAAAGGTTACAAAACAGCATATGTACTAAAATACGTTGAATTGTGCACTTCATGAGTAAATTTTAGGGTATGTGAATTATATTTCAATAAAGCTATCAACCCGAACCCCCAAGTGAATAATCTCACTTCCAGCCTTGTCTGAAACTCCTGGATTCAAGCCATCTGCCCCCCTCAGCCTCCCAAAATGCTGGAATTACAGGCATGAGCCACTGCACCTGGCCTAATCTCACTTTTTGTTTAAATAAAAAATATATAGGCCAGGGGTGGTGGCTCACGCCTGTTGTCCTAGCACTTTGGGAGGCTGAGGTGGGTGGATTGCTTGAGTCCAGGAGTTTGAGATCTGCCTGGGTAACATGGCGAAACCCTGTCTCTACAAAAAATACAAAAATTAGCTGGATGTGGTGGTATGCGCCTACAGTCCTAGCTACTCAGGAGGCTGAGGTGGGAGGATCGCTTCAGCCCAGGAGGCAACGGTTGCAGTGAGCCAAGATTGCGCCACTGCTCTCCAGCCTGGGTGACAGAATAAAATGTCATCTCAAAAATTATACATATACATACACATGTACACGTACATAGTAATAATTACATATAACAATATATAATTATTAATATACTATTATATGTATATAATGTATATGTATGTCCCTGGAGGAAGAGTGACTAAAATGTTAAAAAAATTATAGTTATTTCTTGATAGTGGGAACGTAGTGTTTTTTTTTTTTTTTTTTTTTAAGCTTTTAGGTTCAGGGGTACATGTGAAGGTTTTTTACACAGGTAAACTCATGTCACGGGGATTTTGTTGTACAGAATATTTCATCACCGAGGAATTAAGCCCAGTACCCAAGACTTATCTTTTCTGCACCTCTCCCTCCTCCCACTCTCCATCCTCATGTTGACTACAGTGTCTGTTGTTTCCTTCTCTGTGTTCATAAGTTTGCAGATAAGTATTGTAGAAGTGATTTTTTGTTGTGCTTTTGAGCATAGCTATTATTTTACAATGAAGGTAATCTTTATCATCTAACTAAAATACCTATTAAAAAAATCTTAGATACAAACTATATAAAAACATTAAAAGAGTTCTATGTGCTTTTAGAAAATTAGTTAAAATAATCTATCAACTATTAAATACCTCATAGCCTAGATGCTGTATCAACTGTTCTAAGAATCTGCAATAAACAAGTTTCAGTTTGTCTGCGTTCCTTAAAAACATTCCTAACACTTTACATCAGGAGCAGTGTTTAACATGTTTCACATTTAAATGTTTTGATTCTTCCACCTATAATTCTCCGAAAAACCTTCAGGTATTTGCCACTTTGGAAAATTCACCCTAAATTGCTACACAGTGACTTTCCTTACAACAGCAAAATTTTATATTTAAAATCTATTAATTGTTTGGATTTTCAAACTTTGCTTACATTTCAGAAACAAAAAAACTAGAGTAGAATCAGAAAACATGCTTATGTTAGTTCCAATGTTTAAAAACCTTCAAAGATTAAGAATTGCAAACACTATCAATCACAAATTGGAATTATAACACCAAATGAGGTGATCTGATTACTCCTTACCTTTCATATTTGGCAGAGTCATGTTGACAATTACATACCTGTCATGTAGAAGTCTTTTATAGTTAGCTGAGGTGGAACAAGTGGGTCAGCAAGAAGCTGCTGGTTCACTAGCTGCACAAAAAACAAGAGACCAACAATAATGTGAAAAACTAGTACTGTTACACCAGTAGACACAACATTATGAAAACTGCTCATAGGCAAGCTGTTACCTTTGAGAGCTCATTTGCTTGCTGGAAGTAATTAGCCCCTTCAATATCATCATATCGAACAAGATTAGGAGAGACTTCTTCCAATCTGTTCCTTACTTGATCCAGAGTATCATATGGAAGAGTTATTCCAGCAATCTACAACATGTCAGGTCCCCAAAAACAACAAAAAGCTTTAATACTTAAAAATGTCAAATAATAGATAACTGTAACTATGGTGAAATAATGCAGCACTACTGAAAAACCTATTGGTGTCCATTAATAGACATACATTTATGAAGGAAGCAGTTAAACAGGGAACACAAATTAGTGACTCTATGAAATGATTAAAGAGACAATGCTATGCTAAATCCAAATGTTTCTGCTAACCTGTTATTAACAATACACAAAGTTTACGATGTATTATTATTTTAAAAGTCAGGATGCTTACTTTTACATCAATAAAGAACTAACAGACCTATTTTCAGGCAAAAGACAAGTCAACAATTTTCAACAATAAAATCACCAATTTCAGGCCAGGTGCAGTGGTTCACACCTGTAATCCCAACACTTTGGGAGACCGAGGTGGGAGGACTGCTTGAGGCCAGGAGTTCGAGACCAGCCTGGCTAACATGGCGAAACCCCATCTCTACTAAAAATACAAAAATTAGCAGGGCTTGGTGGTACATGTCTGTAATCCCAATTACTCGGGAAGTTGAGGCAGAAGAATTGCTTGACACCGGGAGATAGAGGTTGCAGTAAGCCGAGATCACGCCACTGCACTCCAGCCTGGGCAATAGAGGAAAACTGTCTCAAAAATAAATAAAATAAAATAAAATAAAGGCACCAATTTCAAATTCCTTTATTTTTTAAGAGACAGGGTCCTACTCTGTCCCTCAGGCTGGAGTGCAGCGATGCAATGAGAGCTCACTGTAACCTTGGAATTCCTGTTTCTGAATACATGTTTCTTATAGAAATTATTCAAATCATCTCTGCATTTCAGATAGGCATCTTCCTTGACTTTGAAAATCATTCTCACAGGCTAAAATATCAAATATCCCTTTAGTAGCACCACTAAGAAATGACTCAGAAATTATACCTCAGAGAGTGCTCTTATAATTTTCCAGTCTTCTCTTGCCAAGCCAGGAGGTGTCACTGCTACCTTAGTCTGCTGAGCTCTACCCTCAGTGTTGACATATGTAGCAGACTTCTCTGTGTAAGCAGCTCCTGGGAGAATAACATCAGCTATGGGAGCCCCAACATCACCATGATGTCCTGTACAAAGATGGAAAATGACAAACCAAAATTTTATTAAAAACTGATTTTCTACTGTACATGAAGACAGTATATATCATTTTAAATCCCATTTTGTAAAGTCACAAAAGTTTTTAAAACTAAAATAAAGCAGTAGTGAAGTAATAAAAAATTAAAGCCCACCTCACTCCTAATTCAACTTCTTTCCCAAATAAAATTATTATTATTATTTTGAGATGAAGTCTCGCTCTGTGGCCCAGGCTGAAGTGCAGTGGTGCAATCTCAGCACACTGCAAGCTCCGCCTCCTGGGTTCACGCCATTCTCCTGCCTCAGCCTCCCGAGTAGCTGGGATTATAGGCACCCACCACCACGCTTGGCTAATTTTTATATTTTTAGTAGAGACAGAGTTTTACCATGTTGGTCAGGCTGGTATTGAACTCCTGACTTCAGGTGATCCACCCGCCTTGGCCTCCCAAGGTGCTGGGATTACAGGTATGAGCCACGGCACCCAGCAGGTAATAATTCTTAAAAGCAGTATCAATTATGTAACTAATAACACTTGCGGTTTGTTTAAAAAAAAAAGAAGGGGGAGTAGGGGGAGGCAAAATTCTCAAATGGAAAACATTCAATTCACTAAATATATTACTAAATGGTTTCTAACATACACAATGTACTACCCTCTTTTGTTTCCAGTGTCACAGGTGATACTTACCTTGATAAATAATGAAACAATCCTTTGGCAAATCCTGTCGTGTGATACAGCCTCCATCTGCTCCCAGGAGAAACAGCACCTTGGGAGGGTTCTTCCGAATTGCTTCCACCCCAGGTTTATAGCCAAGGTCCAAAGCAGCTACTTGACTTGCAATCCTGCAAAACAATTACGGAATTTTACCATAACTGCAGTGTTTTCAATGTAAAAAATTAAATGTGATTCTTGGAATAATTTCCTTTCAACAATGTCAAAAAACCCATTTTATTTTATTTTTTTATGGGAGATAGAGTCTCACTTTGTTGCCCAGGCTGGAGTGCAGTGGCATGATCTTGGCTCACTGTAACCTCTGCCTCCTGGATTCAAGCGATTCCCCTTCCTCACACTCCCAAGTTGCTGGGACTATAGGCACGTGCCACCACACCCAGCTAATTTTTGTATTTTCAGTAGAGAATGGGGTTTCATCATGTTGGCCAGGCTGGTCTTGAACTCTTGACCTCAGGTGATCCACCCACCTTGGCCTCCCAAAGTGCTGGGATTACAGGCATGAGCCACCACACCTGGCCAAAAAATCCCACTTTTACCCATTTAAAATAGATGCCAAAACCAGAAACAGCAGTCTTTTACTGTTTTGCAAATGGCAACCAAAGAAATGTCAGATTCTTAGGACACTCTGTCTCTCCATGACATAGCATTGAATGAAATAATTCTAGAAATTTTATGCCAACTGTAATTGCTTTAAGTCTGATTCCTATTCAATACAGTAAGACATAAAACATGATAAGCCATACATATTCATAAGAGAAAAATCAGATGATTTCAAAAATCAAAAGGGAGAAATTGAAAAACCACTCATTAAACTATAATTCAGAGAAAACCATAATGAGAAAACCAAAACCTTACGGAAATTTTTTCTATGATATACATTACTCTTATAAGCAGAAAATAATTTTTTAAAGAAGAGGTCTAGAATAAATATACTTTGAATAGCAGAATTGTTGTTTTGGTATAGCTTGCTATTTGTTAACTATCTAGAAATAGTAGCCATTCTGAAGACCTAAAACAAGTTGGAAGCATGCTTTGAAAGGCTCAGGAATGGTTATCCTGTGTGCCCCAACAGTTTTACTTCTAGAAATATTTCCTACGAAGATAATTTCAAGTGCAAATGTATCTCTGTATCACTGTATTATCTAAGAAGTTAAAAACTACCATCAACATACATGTTAAAAAGAAGAAAATGGCTAAAAAATTTTATAGTATATTCATGATATCCATCAGCCATTATCGTTTCTTATTTACAAACAATTTCTAGAAAAAAACTTCTGACCATAGTAGGAAATTCTTATTTGGCAACGAAAACCTATTAAAACCAGGATACAAAATTGTATCCACAGTATAATTTCACCTATGTAACTAAAAAATATTACATAGCTACTAGGCACAGTGGCTCATATCTGTAATCCTAGCACTTTGAGAGGCCAAGGGGGGGGCGATCACCTGAGGTCAGGAGTGAGACCAGCCTGGCGAACATGGTGAAACCCCGTCTCTATTAAAAATACAAAAAATTAGCCTGGCATAGTGGCACGTGCCTATAGTCCCAGATACTTAGGAGGCTGAGGCAGGAGAATTGCTTGAACTTGGGAGGTGGAGGTTGCAGTAAGCCGAGATCGTGCCATTGCATTCCAGCCTGGGCGACAGAGCAATACTCCATCTCAAAAATAATAATCACCATGATGTCCTGTACAAAGATGGAAAATGACAAACCAAAATTTTATTAAAAACTGATTTTCTACTGTACATGAAGACAGTATATATCATTTTAAATCCCATTTTGTAAAGTCACAAAAGTTTTTAAAACTAAAATAAAGCAGTAGTGAAGTAATAAAAAATTAAAGCCCACCTCACTCCTAATTCAACTTCTTTCCCAAATAAAATTATTATTATTATTTTGAGATGAAGTCTCGCTCTGTGGCCCAGGCTGAAGTGCAGTGGTGCAATCTCAGCACACTGCAAGCTCCGCCTCCTGGGTTCACGCCATTCTCCTGCCTCAGCCTCCCGAGTAGCTGGGACTACAGGCGCCCGCCACTGCGCCCAGCTAATTTTTTGTATTTTTAGCAGAGATGGGGTTTCACCATGTTAACCAGGATGGTCTTGATCTCCTGACCTCGTGATCCGCCTGTCTCAGTCTCCCAAAGTGCTGGGATTACAGGCATGAGCCCCAAAGAAAATTATTGTTAAAGCATTTGGGGGGCCAGGCGTGGTGGCTCATACCTGTGATCCCAGCACTTTGGGAGGCCAAGGCGGGCAGATGACTTGAGGCCAGGAGTTTGTGACCAGCCTGGCCAACATGGTGAAACCCCATCTCTACTAAAAATACAAAAAAATTAGCCCAATGAGGTGGTGTGTGCCTGTAATCCCAGCTACTCAAGAGGCTGAGGCAGGAGAATCATTTGAACCCATGAGGCAGAAGCTGCAGTGAGCCGAGATCACGCCACTGCATTCCAGCCTGGGTGACAGAGTGAGACTCTGTCTCAAAAAAAATTCTTTTAAAAAGAAAAAAAAGTATCTTCTCAGACTATTTTATGCAAATACAAACATGTATAATATCATACACACATATAAAATAGGCAAATAAGTATACTGATGCTTACAAAGTAGAAATGCTTGCAAAGTAGAACTGCTCCGATCTACCAGTTTGTGAAATTTGGTAAAGTAGACTGAAATGCGGGGGGGGGATGCAAAGACAGGAATATGACAGTAATACTGAAAAAGGCATAAAAAATTACAGAAAAATTTGGAAACACTACCACCCATTAATAACAACTAGCAGAAGAATGAAGTTATTTTATTCAGAAAAGAAGACCTTTAGAAACATCTGAATCAAATGTAAGAAAGTTGTAGAATAATACATAGTTTAATATAATTTGTGCACATTTGTGTATGCGTATGAAGATGTTATGAAGTACGTATATCAAAATTGTCATCAATGATTATTTCTTAAAGGACTAAAAACAGGATTTTAGTTTGTTTATATTTTTATTTAAAATAACATTTTTTTGTTGCTCTATCACCCAGGCTGGAGCACAGTGGCGTGATCATGGCTCACTGCAGCCTCAACCTGCTGAGCTCAAGTGATCATCCCACTTCAACCTCCTAAGTAGCTGGGATCATAGACATGCAGTATTATGCCTAGCTAATTTTTAATTTTTTGTAGAAACAGGGTCTCCCTATGTTGCCCAGACTGGTCTAGAACTCCTTGGCTCAACGAATCCTCCTGCCTCAACCTCGCAAAGTGCTGGGATTACAGCATGAGCCACAGCACCCAAGGAACAGGATTCAGTTCATTTATTTTGGTTTAACTTTTTTTTTTTTTTGAGAGGGCGTTTCACTCTTATTGCCTAGGGTGGAGTACAATGGCATGATCTTGGCTGACTGCAATCTCTGCCTCCCAGGTTCAAGCAGTTCTCCTGTCTCAGCCTCCCGAGTAGCTGGGATTATAGGCACCCACCACCACGC